GAGAGAATATAAAAAGAAGGATAAAGATCCCTCATAGCTTCTCGTTTCTTGGAGCATCGTCGCTACTCTTCTATCTTACGACTTTTGACAGCCGCGCACAGCCCTAAAACTGGACAGACGTAAACGTGTTTTCCCGACTGATACCTGACACGAGACCTTTACTCGTGGAACAGGCGCCCATCCTCGGCTGAGTGAAGTAGGCACCCCAAGTGAAAATTTTTATAAAAACCAAATCCCATTCGTTTGTCTACGATTTGTCCATGTTTGTCCAACCACAATTTTCGTTTGTCCACCCCTCAGAAACCAACTTCACAGAGCTCCCATCCTCGTACTTCTGAGACTCTTTAGTAAGAGCAATATTGAGTGATCGTTCTCGTCGACGCATTCTACGCGTTCGGTCAGGAAATAAGAATAGAAAATAAATCAGTCTTTGTGACTGACGTTATATTATACGCTTCTTTCCACGACGACTCCATCGGTGGGTTATGAAGACAAGTGTACTCTCGTGTAATACGCAAGGGTCGTTCGCGTTCGTGAGAGTTTCGACCGTGGTTTTCTCTCCATCCCCCTCGTACAGGAATCTCGCTCTGGTAACGAAATTTTTGAACCGGCTCTGCGGTCGCTACCGCGGTATCCGGTGAAGATTATTCATTTTAGAGCGCTCTTTGCAAAATTACGGTGGATGTTTTCGTATTAAAGAATTTCGCAGAAACAAACCGAAATATACATGGAAATTGAAATTGTTCGGGTGACAACGGAGAGCCAAAATTTAGAGACAATATTTCTGATGATCCAACGGTCGTCTCGATCGAAGCCGCGGAATGCGTGTAATGAATTCGATTCGATGCATGCAAGTTACCAGGGGAAATCTAGAATTTAACCGAGCGAAGTACGACTGGGAGAAACTCGGCGAGTTATTACAACGTCGAATACTCCGCTCCATCAATATTAACGCACGTCCCGAATTCCTTTGTAATTACTTGTACTGGAAATAATTTCGCTATCGCAATGAGCAATCCGTATAAGTTACCGCCAAATCTCGTTGAACAGAATCGATATTTTTTCGAGGAGGAATGTCTTTTAAATATATGATAATAGTGTAATTTTTTCTCGCGTCTGGACTGTCCGTAGAGTCTCGGACCTCGGGTATGCGTTTATTGCTTCATACGAAAATGTCACAACCGTCAAATTCCTATTCGTAAATCTCTGTCAGTGGAATCTAATAAAAAAAAAAGACGACGGTGAAAACGTAGTCGCATCGGTGACAGGCTGGCTCGCATTGCGCACGGAGATGGCAGCAATTTACGTGGATTATGCATCCAACCTGCTCCATATTTGCCTACCCGGCGTCTGAGCGTAGCTACGAGAGTTTCTTGTATACCACAATTTCGCGTACACTCCCACTCGTAAGTATGCGAATATGAATATAGTCAACGAGAAATTAGATGAAATACGATTGAATCAGAGTCGTAATGGTAATGTCTTGAAGAGAAGCCCATCTCGAACACGATTAGAAGCTCTTTGTTTTAATGACTAGAAAATGTACGTTCTAAACCTCGAGACAGACGTTTCGACGTCATAGAAATTTCCTGTCGATTAAGATTGCAGTTCAGAATTGTAAATTCTCGCGTTCCTGCACTTCTGACAGTGGAACGTACACCGTCAAACGTGTCAGTATGAAAAGGCCGGCGCGACGTGCCGCGAATCCTTGCTCCAAGTTAATGCACTTAGAAAAGTCTCGAAAGTTTCGAGGCGAGCCGTACAAGGCAAGGGCCAGCTTCCCAGATACTTCTAAAAGGTTTCCGTGTTCACCGTGTCGGAGAACTTGGACCCTTTGACCCACGAGCACCTCCGAGCTTCCAAAGGAGTGACTCTTACGATTTCCTATTTCTCTCTCGTCGCATCGTTGTTAGGCTCCTGATATATTCCGCAATTTTCCTACTTCGGATGAAACGTCAGTTCGTTCGTTACGAGTAGATTCCATCGAGACATCGTCCAATTTCGATTTAATTAAAACGTACAAATGATATTTCATTAATTTATGTTTCATGGAAATGCACAGGCCATGTTTCAAGAAGCATTTGCACGTTTATTTTTGTTCGAGAGATGGAGAGAACAGTAATACTTGCATGACGTTTAAAAACTGCATCGAAATAATTGTGACGAACGCACTGCAATCTCTATGGCCGATCGTTCAAACATAAATAGCAATTTTGATTCGACTCTCTTGTACAAATTTCGAACATCACGAGCCTGTCTGTGAAATTAATAAGGGAATCTAATTAATTCGTCCTCGTCAACAGACCTCGTGAAACGAGAAACGTTTTGATCGTTCGACAAGAATTTGAACGAGATACATTTCACCCGTCGAGAATTATTATCGGACTCCCTTGTTCAGGTCTCGCCGTGCCACTTCGCCATTGTCTAGCCAGAGGGGGTGTAAAAAAAAGGAAGGGACGAATTAAAGCAGCTGCGCGAGGAGCACTAGTTATTCTCTGACCCGTTACAAAGTCGAGGAAATTAGATGCCCAAGGAATACGCTTTGTGCTTCAGGCAGGCTTGCTTGTTATTCAGACAACAGCGAAAAATAAACCGAGGTAACTAGTTTCTGTCGATTAACTGCCCAACAAGATGCTCGTCGAGCGTATAAATTCGTGCCTTCAATAAATTATCGAGTGACCGTTCAAACGGCGGAATGTTTGATTCCGTTTGTTACACGATTCATTGCATAGAAAATGCTGAAGGAAATTATTTGAAAATGCACGAGACAATCGCACGAATTTAACTGGGAATATCTGTAACGAGAAACTGGAAAGCGGTGGAAGTTCGGAAGGGTCGAACGGGTTGTTTCGAGTCGAGGCCAGCCACGGAACGGTGTCACGGATAGCCGAAGGAAAACAAAAAGAAGCGAGAAGATGGAGGGTCGTCGGCGAGAAACAGGAGGGGTGCTCCTCCTCCTTCTCCTCCTCTAATTACGACGCTGTCGTTAGAACACCGAGTGCTTAATGGCACTTCGGGATAAAGTGTGCTCGGTTCGCGGACCCATTTGCCAGCGATGTCGGCTGATTTTAAAGGTAATTAAACTCGCCGTCCACTGGGATAAGAAAAAACAGACGCTTCTCTCGTCCCGCGAAACTTGCCGTTGATCGACCGACTTCTCCCCGGTTCAGATTCATTACATTCGAATTAGTATATTTTTTTAATTACTCATCGTTGATTTACACTCATTTACGATGTTCGGTTCATCGTCTCGCATTAAATCAGACGTTGTTCCGATAAAAAGCAAGACTGTCCCTTTTGTCTGACTCGACAGTGACCTATACTACTCGTACCGCACGAGGCTGTTCCACTCGGCTGGCCATATTCTACCTGTGCTACTGTTAATGATAAAAAAATTATCTGACGTAATGAAAAGAATGGGAATCGGGAAAAAAGGATCGCCGACGGTCTTCAGCTTGAACAAACGTCTTGGGAGGGCATGTATTGTTTGGAGAGAAGGAGGGCAATTATCAGCTGATAAAAGCCGGTTTTCCGAGTTGAACGATTCTTTCCCTTCCACCGAGTGTTTCGCGTAACTTGGTGGACGAAGTCGGCTCTGTTTTTAAAGGAGCACTCGAGAGAGCACTCCTCGGGCTCTCGGTCGCGGCCGAAGAAAGTAGTGGGTTTTTCGCCTTCTGCTAAGGCGGCGCACTAACTTATTACGAAACAATTTGCAAGTCTTGAGAGAGAGAGAGAGAGAGAGAGAGAGAGAGAGAGAGAGAGAGAAGGTTAAGAGGGAAAGCTCGAACCAAAGGGAAGGAATAGAAGTGACCGACGTGAGGGAGCGGGAAGGAGGCTTAGAAAGTAGGTAGCTTTTAAAGACTTTTAATTTGAGAGTGAAACGCTAGCTAGTTTCCCCGGTGTAATTTAAAGAAAACCTCGTAGAGGTGCAATAAAACGTCACCCGTAATTCACCGAAAACTTTTCACAGAGAAGGATCGTGCTTTTAAAAATGATCACAGACCGACGACGAATTATAATAAATGTCCAAACGGTTCTACGAAACATTTCTACGAGATATAATTAATTAAGAACGTGGACCTTTAATTAATGCGCACACCATTTAGCAGCGTCGCTAAAATGTGTTTGTAAGACCCAGTTTCATTAGGTGCACGTGAATCAGGGTAAGATCAGCCTCGCGAGTGTCGCACATAATCGATGAACTGGCGACGAGTTTCCTTAATCGTGCAAACTATGGTCGGGTTTTACAGGCGACGAGCATTTTACTGATTACACGCCCGCCGTGGCCCGGTTCGATCGTTCATCGCTCACGGCGTCGGCCCATCCGTCTTTATACGTCCTGGCGTCGGGGCCATAAACGTTACGGGGGATGAAAATGCATCAGCTTTTCACGCGAGGGCCTATTAACCCCCCGCGATCCATACGGCCGCGGGGTCGCGTGCAAACCAACGATTTTGCGTCGCCCGCCTCGTCAAGAAAAATGGGGAAACGTAACTAAGCATTACAGACCGGCCGCGCGATCGAAGTACGCCGTCAGATTTAAAGATCTCTGCTTTTAATCCCTTGATTTCGTGTCGAGTCACATTTGCCAGGATTTATTCCGCTCCTATTTTATACATTAATATACAATACCTATTAATATACGTTCTATCCGATGTGTCGTTGTTAAATATTTTCAGTAACAGATTCGCACTGTGAACGTTATTTTTAGGATTTGTTACGCCGATAATTTATATTCAATAAGCGTGAAACATGCGTTGAGAGAATTACGACGCAATATCCAGCAGTAAGATTAAATTTTTTCTTTCTAATGAATTACCATGCAGTTCTGACTTAGTAATATCGATTTTGAAATACTGTATTGTATTCCCGGACCACGTTTACCACCAGCCGGCTGCCTTAATTACCCGCTATCTAGTTTCTACAACTTAATTGTAAACCTACGCGTTACCGTGCAACCCGATGCCGTATCTACCAGACCGCAATCAAACTCGCATAGAATATTCCAATTCCTAGACGAGCTTGATATATCGTCATCGTAGCGGAAACATTCCCGCGTTCCAAACCAGAAATTCGTCCTTTTGTTTAGTAAGCAACTGCGTACTTATATGTAAAACAGATTCTGAGATCATTTAGTAATTACGTATGAAACCTTTCGTCGAATACCCGACAAAAAATGTGTGAAGCTGTCTCACCGACGATTTTGTACGCAACGGAAGCATACGTTTCGAGCTAATTGATCCTCGAAAAAGAAAGTGTGCTCTCGTTTAATGGAAAGAGTGACTCGAGGAGGGCACAAAGAAAGGTCTATTAATTAGCAGGATCGATTAACAACGCGACGTGCGGTATCAGAGAGGCGACGAAACAAAGGCTTCTTCATAAGTCCGTTGATCGTCGATGCATTAAACTCGAAACTCGTCCATTAATTGGTCGTGAGTGATCAAACACCGCTGAACCACGAGAAAAAAGTCGTTCTCCCGCTCCATTTGGGCGATCGTCGTTTATAATATCGCTCAAGAGCACGGATGTCTGTGATTTTTTGTGGTACTAGATCGCAGCTATCATTCGTCGAACCATATTTATCGTCAAATTCTATTACGAATATACAAAGGGTAATGTAAAACGAAACGTGTGAGACTTGAATAGACCGGTTCGTTCTGAACTTCTGAACGACAGTGGACGCATGCGATCGAGATTAATATTCGAGATCGTCTCCCTGTTTCGTAGGTAAACAGCGGAAAATCTTTCGGCTGAACATCTTTGAAAATATCCTTCCTCTTATCTTTCCCACCCTCTTTTCATCTCCGTTGCTGACAAACGCGTACACGACGCCGTCCATTGTTCGACTACAGTGCTTCCTCGTTTTAATCATGCCGGCACTTATTCGTCTCGGTTTTATTCTCGTGTAGCGCCGGTGCTACACGGGTTTTGCGCGGGCCTCGGCGTTACTTTTGTGTCCCCGGCCTCTCCCTTGATTGCACCCTCTCCGCTTTCTTCTTCCACTTCGCTCCTCTTTTTCGTCGTCCGCGTCTTGTTTTTCCCCCTCACCACCTCTACTTTTCCTCTCTGTATTTTACAAATGAGACACAACGACGAGCAACGCGACCTTTTATCAAGCGACGAACTACCAAAGTCAATTCCAATCAGCTTTTCTTTTTTTCTACCCTAAATATCTGTTTGATTTCTGATGTCATTCAGTCGCTACTAAATACGGTTCTATCAGCCTGTTCGACTCTCTCATCGTAATTAAATAGATTTTGCGTCTTCTATATTTGTAGAAAGATCGTATTATAGAAAATAATATTGAAAGACATACAGAATAGTGAAATGGAGGTCATCGTTTTTAAAGAGTAAAACAAATATCTAGATTTCATTTTCTAAATCAAAATCACTGACCGTTCATCCCACACAAAATTCCACGGTCTATTGATAATCTTTAAAAGGAGCAAACAAAATGTGATTCACATTGAACGTGGAGAGAAATCACTCTCATCTCTTAAGTGGATTTTAAAAATGTAGTTCGTTCGGTCAATAGTTTTCGAGGCTGAATTTTAATGTCCATAAATCCTGATGATTCTAATTCGAGCCGCGTGCTCGCTATTAAGTATTTGCGCCGTAATCTATTACCTGTTTCATCGATAATCGATGGAATCCATTTTTTAGCCCGGATGGGAAAACTTGTTCTTACCTTGGATCTACCCTCGACGCGTTTGTCTCGATTCAGCTGAACCCAGGCGTCCCATCGGTGCCGGTAGACGGTCAGCGTGTTCCACTCGTTCAGCTTCACCGTTTGTGTGCTCCTCACGATGCCCACCCCGCTCCCACAGTCGAACCTGCGAACCAAACACAACATTTCCGTTCATATTAAATGTGCATCGATATTTTTTAACTATGTATTTGAGAAGAACTGTGATCGATGAGATTGCATAAAAGAAGATCCGCGATTATTCGAAGAGAATCGGCCGACGAACACCGAGAGGAGTTACGAACATAAAACTGAACTTTCTAAGGTTTTACGTTACATCGATCTCTGTTTCTTATTGTGTCATTTTGTTTAATTAACTTTCTCACGGAACCATTTATCCAGTGGTGTTCCACCAAACCTAGAAACGGTCGGCTATCTTAAACGACGATCTGTAAAGATTCATTGGTGTTCGTGTGGCCGTCTCTTAAGGAAAAACCTATTTCCCAAAATAATGGGATCGTATACCACGCGTATCTGAAATACATTTCTCCCACGTTGTACCAGAAAATCGTTCCACGTTTTCTGGCTCCGTGCTAATTAAAATCCTCTTATAAACAGAAATCGTAGGAACTGCATGATACGAATGGAAAATTTATATGATTCGTACTGTTACGAATCGTACCATAATTATGCTTTGATAATTTCTGATTGCACGATTATAGAACTCGTAACAATTCTCTTCCATTCAGTCAGTCGTACTAATTGTCATTTCTATTAATTGCTATCCTCTACAACGTTTTCCTTTATATGCTTCTTCAGCTCGGTTTTAGTGCCGATTTCGCGAAATGGAGGACAGAAAGGAGCTTAGCCAGGGAATTCTAAGTTACAACATAATTATCACCGCCGAGTTAGCGAGCAACACGGTAATGAGAAATTTTAACGAGTTACGGCGACGCAGTCGAACCGCGTAATTAATACCGCGAGACCCGCGGCACGCGTGCTCCGCCAGGTTTTAAGGCGTATTCCTTTCGACACGCACCTGGTTAATTCTATAATTCTATCCTAACGATAATACATTCATCCTCGCCTGGTTCATAATAATTCTCTTAACATCTACTCATTAATTTTCAAAAAACAAAATAAGCGTTTTATTCATATTAAAAAAAACTCTTGATTCGACTATCGACAACATCATAAACGCTGAATACATATTTCGCTCAGGCAATTTGTTCCAGGCTTTCCTCATTTCAATAAAATTTCTCTAAAGAATAAAATCTATCGAATCCTGCATTCGGCAGAAAAGCCGATTAGCCGAAACGGGAATTCGATTCATTGTTGCGCTTAAGTCTGACGCTGTTGAATGATGAAAGACAAAGCCTGAACGAGAATCGAGAGGATTTCTTTCTGGCCTTCGGGTCTGTCGGTTGAATTCAGTGACGCATTCTTCGTCAGCTGTGAAATAATTAACGATCTCCGTCCCCCGGAGAAGGCGAACATCGTAACGATTGGCCCTGACCCTGTTTCAGTGAATGTCTCGCTTTTATGAGCAACGTTGCCCGGAAGATGCACTTGACATTCACGCGATCCTCCACTCGTCACGTATTTCACGGATGTTCAACGCAAACCGAATTGCCAGATTCCTGACGCGAGGCAAATACCTTTTATTCATATAATAATTTATCCGACCATTATCCCATGGAGATCCTCTCGTGCAAATTACGAACGTATTAATCTCTGCATAAATTAGGTCAGAATTAAACGCACTTGACTCCTCGAATCTATTCATAAAATCTTCACAATGCAACTAAATTCGACAAAGGGAGATTTCATAATGCCTTGTGACATACACAATTTCTATTTTGATCGGATCCTCGGATATTACTTCCGCTCGGAGGGCGTCTAACCGTGTAAATGCGGGGAAATGTGTACGTGAAAGTGATTCTTTGAGTCCTGGCTCCGACCGGAAGACGAGCGGGATACGTGTACCTCGGCTTAACCGAAGAAAAGACCAGTGGGATCGTGTGGAGAGCCGGAAAACTCGGCCGGTCGGATCTCGTGACGCTGAAAGCGAACGGTAACTGCGTACACGGCTGCTGCCGGCAAATGCGACGACGACGGTACGGATCACGCGGCTGTCTTTTTCAACCAATTGGACCGCGAGAAAATTTCATTTCGTCCGAGAGACCGATTTTTCATCCGAGAAAAGTAGCTTCCCAGTGGCCGGACCGTAATTGGAACTATTGTTACCGACGCGTTCACCGATCCTCGTCTCTGTTACGATCTAATCGGAACAAGCTTCAGTATCTTTCTATTGCAAGACCATTCGATTAATTCGAGAATTAAAACCAGAAATTCGATTCAATCGGTTTTCGCAATTAATTGGTTCAATCATGAAAATGCCAGATAATGAGTTTTGAATTATTTAATACGTTACAAATGTTATCGAAATTGGCGTCCCATTCGCTGTCCCAACAATTACACGGACACTCCCACTCTTTAGTACTATCTCCTCGGTGGCTGGAGGAATGAAATGGTTTGCGACGAGCCCGATCGGTACTTGGGTTTTCATCCATTTCTCAGTCCTTTGTCTGAGCATTCCGCATCGACATCTGGTTAACGGGACGATAAGTTTCCCAGCCAATCGCTTAGCGCGTGACTAATGAATTATGGAAACAAATCGAGGAACAATGAACGATTATCTCGGCAGTGTTGAATAAATTACGCTCCTCCGTTCGACGCTGCTTTCGACCCGTTTATATCCATAATTAACTAGGAACATCCGCCTGTAGCTTATGAAACCAGGACTGGTCTTATTGTTAGACCGGTTTTATGGATGATACGAATTTCGAGGGTATTTAAGGATGTGTTGGCTATACAGTCAATCTCCAAAGTTTATGTACCTTAGAAAAACGCATTTCCTATATTTAAAAATAGTGTATTTTTCTTCTAATTTCGATATTTAATGAGTTAAGTATGATTATTTGGCATTTTATTGATGTTGACAAAATCCGACCATACCACTGTCGAAACGGCGAACTTTTGGAAAAAAATTTCGTTTTTCCTCAATAACTTCTAAACTCTTGGAGATACGGGAAAATTGCATAGGACCTTTCTTGTAGAAGGCGACGAGATGTACAATCTCTATATAAAAATTCTTCGCTAGCATTAATATTTAACGAGTTATTGACGAAAAACGAAAAAACAGTTTTTTGCAAATTACTCGTAAACTATTGATGTTAGCGAAACATTTTTAGACAGAAATTGTAGATCTCGTCGTCCTCTACAAAATGGTCTTATAAATATTCCCCTAAGTCCATCCGTTTGGGAGTTATTGGCAAAAAACGAAAATTTCGCAAAATCTGAAGGGGTACCCCCTTGGAAAAATCTCGGAAAAATCGAAAATTTTTGTTGTTGTTTATTATTAGCATTGTTCTTCCGACGTCTGATTTCTTTTTAAAAAATGCGTTCCTAAAGTGCATAAACTTTTGGGATTGACTGTATAGCCAATACATCCTCAATTGACAATACAGAGAGATCATTTGTTCAAACAAATGAGATTCAATTTTTATGAAACCGTAAGTTCGATACTTTAAGCTAGAAAAGAATTAATAATTTGTCCCGGACGATACCGAAATTCAGGGCGAAGTTTATGAAACGTTTCGGTAAGCCTTTGCTGATGAAAATTTCGACTCGGTAAAGATTGAACACGATAGTCGGGTGAAACATGATTGGCGGTTGGACAAAGTTCCAGGTGGAACTTCCGGACACATAAATCGGTCCCCAGTCGCGCGGGAGTCGCGGGTTATTAAGCTGCGAAGGGAAAAATTAGCTCCTGACCGGAATCCTTAATTAATGGCCACGTCAAACTCTCGCCGTCAACGGAGGCTGCTACTCGGGCTGCGCCTGCCTCGAGAAACTTGAGAAACTTCTACGGACTTCTTTCAAAGCCCGTCAGGGAAATGTACCCCCGGTGAAGTTCATCAACGCGATACTTCAGCCCTTGTTTGCATGCGACAAGCTTCAAATTCATTTAACATTGTTCATCGATCGATTTCCTAAGCTATCGCGTCGAGAATAACTGAGCTGTAAAATCAGCCTCGAGAGGATTAAGATTATTTTCAAAGGGATTCTTACATTGGTATTTCTTCGTCCAAGTGATATGACGACACGATTCTAACTACTAAAGGAGTTAGAGAGAATTTTATACGACAATTTCAATCTACGGATTCTGAATCTTTTATAGATTCTTTAATACGTATTTGAAGTTGACGAAACAAGAAGAGTAATTTGAACAAGGATCGATAAAAGGATTTATAAGAGGTCATCGCTATTGAGGATGATCATATTTTCCCATCAAATTTCATCGATATACACGGGCCGTCTCGCGACAGATTGAAGCAAATCGCGGTTTCACGCGGTTCCTTTGATGTCCCATCGTTAATAGGGCAATAGGTGCCCTCGGGCAACTTCGGTTCTCTCGAACGAACTTGCGGAAAGTTAGCATAATACGATGATGCATGCCGATGACGGCGCGCAACTACAGTTTCCAGCAAACAGTTTGCTCGTTTACGTCCTCTTTTCCATAGATCGATCACCATCGATCACCACGATGCCGAACTCTCGTTTCAGTTTCTTTCGCAAACTTTCAAATTGATCGCTCAAAGAATGGAACTTCGAACGTTTGATATCGGAAATAATGGTTGGCTAGCGTTTTGCTCACTGCACGTTCTCCCAAGTTTTTATATGATTGATTTATATGATGATCGTAAACGAATTTACTTACTTGAATAAAATCGCAGCAGTTCTTATTCTTAACACATTGCTGACCGGTCACAAGTTAACTCGTGTTTTCGTGGCCAAGCGTTGGTGACCGGTCACGAGTAAACTCGTGATAAGCTTTTATCCCCATCTTTATTGTTTTCACGGCGCACTGTTGGATATCTTGTAGTGTAATTATTTGGTCTGCATACCTCAAGTTGTGTCTCGCTTATAAGACCGGCCAAGTTTCGTTCTTAGTTGTAAAAGAAATTTCAACGATGACCAAATTCTTCGAAAGGAAAACGGAGCGAAACCGAAATATTAGGAGTTGAATAATGAATAAAATTTATTACAATTTATTTATATTGTTTTACTTCCATATCCGCTTCCAAAACAATAGCCGGGCACGTGAGGTAAATTTTCAGAAAAGTTGCCGGTCAGCAATGTGTTAAATACCAATAGTTACACACGATTATGAATATTTTCTGTAACTACAAAAATTCAAGTAGGAATGTTTCACTCACTGCTTTAGAATGTTCATCGTCTTCCCACTGACTTCGAAACTGTTATCGGTCCCTCCCGAGGGGCATTTATATTTAACCACCGCATCGACACGACGATTATAAAGTAATATCGTTACCTGAACTCGACGAAGCCGTGATGCAAAATCAAAGCCATGAAGTCGCCCTGAAGATCGTCCCTCTCGCCGGCCAGCAGCAGCACCCCGTCCCACGCCTCGGGCCGGAATTCCAATTCTAATTGGACGTGCTTGTAAGCGGCCTTCAAAGCCGGGAACGCGAGCCATCCCGAGCCAGTAAAACGGGGCGATCTCACCTCGGCTTCTGCAATCGGAAAAATATTATTTTCGTTAAACGCGCCCACGTGACATTTCGTGTATTCTTTGAACGATGGAACACAGGCTCTGTTCCTAGTACCTAAACTTTTACGAATGCATGAAGAGACAATAATTCTCGTTTTGAACACACAAATCGTACGACGGTCCATTGCTGTTGCTTCGCGAATCCAGTTGGCCTAACTAATCACGAAGCACGCCGTTGCTCTTTGGACATCAGAGGGACCGAAGAAATATGGTCGAAGAGGAGGTCGAATCGGGATAGGCAGGGAATGCCAAGAACGTGCGAGGCTTAAGGAAGGCTTGGTCGATGCCGAACCGGCTATCAGTCAAGGGAACGTGGAAAAGGGGAGAGGGCATACACGTAAAGCATAAGGGTTGCTATAAATCAGCCTGCCACCGCGAATGGAAAAACTCGTGGGGAATGGAATAACGTCCCTTGATCTGCCATGCCGGAATGTCGAAACAAACACTGGGAGAAACACGAGTTTTCAAGCTATATAAGAATTCCTACTGTCTGCCACCAGGCTATTTCTTTTCATTCCCTCCGTCGTCGCATGAAATTTAATTAAAAGATTCCTGTATGCCTTTTTACGTATTCTTGTTCAAAAGTATTATAAAGTTCCTCGATTCTCGATTAGAAGCAATAATATAATGTGAGAAATACCATTTCACAGTCTGTTAAAAAAAGAAATTGGAATTACTCCGTGAATCGATGTACAAGTAGGATCGCCTAATTTGATTTCTGCCAGGATTGAACGGTTCTATTTTCTATCAGATCCAATTTGTTTAAGTTTTCAATCTGAATATTCATCTCGAATTTCGAAAGCTTGAAGGATAAACGCGTTAATTTCGTGCGGGTGTAACCGGAGAGAAAATGTATTAACAGCGGAGGAAGGAAGCAAACGTAGAAACGTGTATGCATGCGTAGTAGGTGATATACGAGCCCTTGAGAACGAGAGCGAGGTAATTCAATTTAATCTCGTGGTTTTATATTAGCTAAGTCAATAACCGGTGTGTAAAAGAAAGGGGAGGACAGGGGATAATGATTACCTGGTTTAATTAGCAGTTGCAATTAATCAGACTTGATCAGACATAAATCAATGAATGTTGTGTTTAATTTTTGGTACAAGAAAATTTCATTAATTATTTCACCTACGTGGAAATTTAAATAGTAGAAGTGGGAATATCAAATTCGAAACTGAAATATAACATGAATAAAATGTGAAACGAATTTCAATCAGCAAAGTTGATTAAACTTGTTACATCAGTTAATTAGCAAAATTCTCTTTCGATACCTGTCACTTGTAATTTTAATTGCATAATATGAAAGAATGACTCTTTCATTTGAAAAGTGAATTAATCAAGCATCTCGCCTGCAGAGTCACAGGTGGGTTCACAAAGGGAAACAGGCGAGAACTGTTATATTAAAACGGGAATGAAACAGTGGAGGAAACTAATTCTGTGTGAATTTTTGTCACCCACAGAATCAATCTGCTTGATAATCATCGAATTCCAATTAAACAAATTGATTATCAGCAAGACCCGTTTATTACATTAACTGAATCATTAAATGAATAATAATTATTGGTTCAGTAGTAAATCGCCGGTTTATGCTGATTAAAACGACTAAATGCAATGACGTTTCTTCGGTAAAAAGCCTTCGATAAAAATGATCGATCGATCGGTCAGAACCGTACGAGCGCAAACTGTTAGGAATATTCGTGGGACGAAAAAAAATAGTTGAATTCGCGCGTACGCACTTGACGGGGCATTTCGAATTCGCGCCCTTTGTCGTGAATATCCGCGTCGCTAAAAATGTGATCCCCTCTAGTCGAGTACGCGGATTAACGAGCTATGAATTTTCCTGTAATTTCGCTGCTTCTCCCGCTCCCTGCCTCTCCCGCTCATTACCAAATTCTCCCGTTAAACACTCGTTTTATATGCATACCCTCCGTTTCGCTTTTTAATATCAAGTTGAAAATTATGCATGCATACACATTGTCTATTTATTGCTCCTGCCGTTTCAATATTTATTCTAGCGGGAGTGAACAAACGAGAAATCACTTTGAAAAATGGGATCCTTGGTGTTCACGTTCGTCACGAGAATCGGAGCGGTGTTTTATTGGTTTTTATGATCGGTTCGGACGATAAGTCGACCATGAATAAAAAAAGTAAATCGAGTAGATCGATGAGATTTATCGACTGGATCACCGAACTTCCTACAGGTCTTCTGTTCCACGTGTATGATCAGTCGCTTTGGCTCGCACCCAAAACCAGTTCCTCCTTGGCGGGGCTTCAATTAACCACTTCACTCGCGCCCCGGACCACGGGGGCGCGATTTATCGCGCGCGGAGATTTGCAAGCAACGCCGAACGTAAGAGGAACGCCTCGCACTCAGCGCTTCATAGTTCGTCGAACCCGTTTCGAGATTTTCATATACGAGATTCCTTAGGCCAATGACTCGCAAATTTTATACGATTCTGCGCAGCCCTGACTCCTTCCCGTACCGTCGGTGATGGGCCAGTAAAAATTTTACTGCTGTTTCGATGCCGCAAACTGAACTACGTTCGTGGATTCAGGTTTTAATTTATTAAATCGAACGGGAATCTAAATGCAGATTTTATATACAAATCGCATATTCTAAAAATTCTGAACAGCCGTTTTAATTTTCATCGGATAAAACAAATCTTACAAAGTGAACAATTTCGGTAGACAATTCACACCGAGGGTAGCAGCCCTTATTTCGTTTTGCAACGAAAAAGGCAGACCACACCCGCGTGTGAAATTAAGTTAAAAAGGTGGAAATAAACGAATCGCGTGCAATTTTAACAACGAGTCGAGGCGCGTATTTGCATGCAAACTGTCGGCTGTTACGCGCGAAAGCGGAAGCTCTAACCGGCTAATATGATTCTCGACGCGGGAGCGCGGTCAATTTAAGATTCACCGAGGCGTGCGAGCACCGCGGCGTAGATTGCGGTCGATCAGAACGAGCCTAAGGAGGATCCGCGTCATGGAGCTGAAACCACCCCTTTCCGTGCCACCGCGAGAGCGGCAGAATGCTCTCGTTCCTTCCCTTGATCCACCGTTTCACGTCGGTCCAATGTTTGTACAACTTAATCGAGAGACAGGCTAGACAGTCTCCGTATTGTGCGAGACAGAAACCCATAAAATTCGTCACCAGATTTAACTCGTTAATTAATCAACATCAAATTTGTTCACAATATTCAGTTGTGACTTATTTTGTGTTGATTCTGCAATACGGACTGTTTCGAATTCTTATGGAAAGTACAACAGGGAACAAAGTATTCTTAATACGAACTGTGGAGTGGTTTTAATTAATGAAATGTTTTCAAGACGAATTTCAAAGATAAAATACGACGTCAATATTTATCGATACATCCACCAGCGGCACGGATTCGTTGGAGGCAAACGTTCCTGTTTGCATTCGACGGTCAATTTCGATGAGTAAAGTTAAATAAATGTCGCTCTATCAACGTTCTTATCACTGTACAACGCTACTGTTGTTGATTTTCATATCTCCCGTACTTTTTAATATTATAATATTAGTTTACATATTTCGTAAACAACTTTTTGTATCGTCCTTATTTTCTGTCCGTTATTTGAAAGATAAATAATTAATGCGAGATGCATTCGTGGTATTAATGGAGACGGGTTAAGTAAAAAATTGTATGGTACGAAAATCCGGAAAAATTAATTCTATAAAGAGAATGCAAATGGGGAGGTAAGAAAGGGTCCAGCGTGGAGGAAAAAGTGTACAGGATATATGGGACCGGATTCAGCGACGGCGTGCCAGTAAATAAAGTCAATTTCTTTCTCTTATTCGAGGATTCCGTGTTCCCGGCAGTCCCGGTTTTGTTCAATTTAATTTAAACAACGCCGGTCCTCTTTGTTTTTCGTACGCACGCCATAGTCCGGATTAGTTTTTCCCCGTTTTAACCCTACCACCGTTCTTTGTTCCCTGTTCAGCCACTGAGAATTCACTGCAAGTCGGATGGAGATCTGCTTTGGACACCTCACAGAGAAATCTCACTGAGAATTGAATCTCGAACATTTTTCTGTCGTCTCCTGTAATAAATTTCTTTCGACTGAGGTGTGAGTGTGGAAGAAACTCGGTCCATCACGGATCCCAAAATAAAATAAGCGATTCTACACTTTGGGTGTTGAATCTCTTGACACCACAGAGACACTTTTCATCATGTTGAACGACAACTTTCATCCCACGGTGCAGTAGACGGGTTTATCACAGAGAAATCGCCGTCGTCGGGGTCGAAACCGCTAGGTAGCTAGACCACGATAAAACACGTACTCGGTTTCGAGTCGGGAGAGAGTGAGTTTTGCGAGATTCGACGGCGAAGGGTAAGTAGCCGTGCACGCGTTCGAGGGACCGTAATGAAAAAATGCAACGGCGTAAAAAGGCGTACGGGCGTACAGACTGTTCCCAAATTTATATTCGATAGACTGTTCTTCATTCCAATGATGAAATAAATGCAAGAATATGTTCAGATCGACAGGAGATTGTTCTGATAATGATATAAAATACTGGAAGGTATAAAAGAATTGCTTGTTTTCTGCATTATGTTTCTATCTCGAGAATTGGAAGCAGCCTGTACACTGGGACGACGAAGGGTGGCTCGGGCTCCATTAATGCCACCCCAGCGAGGGATAATGGTTCTGAACACGCGCCTGTGCTCCATTCGTCCACGCCACGCGTAAAAGTGCACTTCTGGCTTGGCGAATGGGACGCCCTTTAACCGGTTTAGACCCCCTAGGAGCTTTGTTTCCGGGAAGAACAAGAATGGGCTCGTTACCCTTTATTCGGAGCCGAGAAACCGACGCTTTTATCTCGTTTTTATTACTGACAATTTTTCATTCATCGATCACTGCGAACGACAATCGTCTCTTCGAATTGACCGCGGATCGCGCGGTATGCCGCAGGAACGAAGCGAAAGTGTAAATAAGGAACAG